TGCTTAAGAAAATCAACAAAAGAGGCTTGAAAAGTAAAGTTTTGGGGGCTTGGAATCAAGAGATTAGAAACCGGCTTTAAGACATGGTTTAGATATGTTCCAAGGATCCCAAAGACTTCCAATGACCATGAAAATCACCAAAAAAAAGAGAAATTTACTTGAGAGAAAGGATGAACCTGAGATTTTAGCAAACACTTTCATTATCCAACCATGAATTCATCTATACATCAAAGCTAACTCTCGCAGACATCCTTCCATTTCAGATGAGAAACTAACTTAAGAGGAAATTCTCCTCTCTAGCCTAATCTCTAAAACATGAAGCCCTTTGGCTAAACCTCATTTAGCACGCTTTTAGATGGGGATTGGGACAGGAAAAGAAAATGGATTGGGATAAAAGGAGGGGTTATGGATGGGTATGCTAATTTTTATTTCAGTATTCCTATCTTCATTTCCCATTTATCCAAACATGGCATCAAATCTATCCCACGCCTCATTTCATGTGTCTCTACCCATTTCGCATTTCCAAATGCCACCGAGGAAATAACATGGGGGTGGAAGAGATGGTTGTCTTGGCAACCACCCGCCCTTATTTATAGGGCTATTATACATTTTCAAGAGTGCCCTAGGTTTAGTCATGAACCCCTTAGCCACCGTGGGGCAAATGGATCTGTTTCCAAGCATCAAACGACCATGGGCCATTCATGAAATCGCTTCACCGATGCTGCAACCTCTTCAATAATACCACATCGGCCGCCATGAGATCCTCTTCGGTTTTAAGGCCCAAACCCGCAAACATGTCGCCTGTGGTTTGAGGTCAAATAAACCACTAAACCCACTTGGTCGTCGATAGCCGCTTATGTTTTTCTTCCACGATGTCGTACGCATGTCTCGCTGTTTCTCGATCAACCGATCACCAAGTGCTTAGCGCCCACCTTGACTTGGTCCACTCGTTGTCTTAACTTTGATCAACACCGCTCCATCAACATCCTCGCATACACTTTGCTTGTCGAGCAGATGTTTACAAGTGCTAGACATCCACGGGCCATCCTTCGTCCTCGGTCCCTTGGTCTAAGCCTTCGCCACCGCCCTTCACTCGCCTCCCGATCCATCGTGCACCTAACTCCTCGCTTGACCTTCTCCACTATCGCTTCACCATCTCACACTAACACATGCACATCGCCGGGCCAAGAGACATGCGCGCGACACTCACTCATGCCTTGGTTAGTCTTCACGCACACTTAACCAAAGCTTTGGTCTCTCCTCTATGACAATCACTCATCACTCACACATGGGCGATATCAACCATGGGCACATAAGAATTTTGGCAATACTTCTAATATGGAGATAAGGACACAGGTGGGTACCCAATGATGTTTTTTGGGCCACGAACTAAGCATGGCTAAATGTCATTCTAGTTCATTTGAGTAAGTTTTGGCCCACCTAACGACCCACAGAGAGACGGAGCCTCATAGAGGCGATATTGGGCCCTGCCCCCTTGACCTGAAAGGAGATTTTAACATTCTGTGTCCATCTATTAAATCTTCAAGCTCTTCTATGCCATCAATCTTCTTGAGTCTTAAAAATCAATCTCTCTTGAAAAGCCCAAAGTATAGCTCTTATCACACAACTTTATCCTTATTTGCACCTTGAGGCTTGGATTGTATGCTCCATTTTACTATAGTTGTTCATTTCCAGTATGGCCCTCTTGATTTTTACTCTCACGCTCCGTCATTGACCCAAAGGAGTTATTAAAACATGCCTATATTGAGACTAAACTGCAAATCATTCTAAATCATAGTAGTGCTCTTCATAAAATGACACGGGAAACGCGTTTGGCGTCTTCTTCTTCCTCGATTTTCTGCCTATATATAAGACCACGTGTACGACGCAGGTGCAGTCCATTCAGGCCTTCAGAGGCACAGCCCAGTTTCACTTCTTCTTCTCCCTCACCGGCGAGCAAACGCGCTCGACGGCGTTCCACTTAGCGAAGGGACGCCATCAACCAGCAGCTCAAGGTGAGGACTGAAGACACCAAACGGCCAAAGGCACTCTTGCTTTCATCATGCGTTTTGCTGTCATGCATACTAATAGCACTCCCGTATCTTCCTCCATGCATGAGCTCAGCTACGTTTACCCAACCATACGTGTCCACACCCTCCCTCAGCTAGTCAGCTGCCGGTGCCCACCATGGACGCTTAGCTAGCCAAGTATAGAGCTAGATGTGTGAGCTCAGACATATAGAACCGCCTGTCCGCCGCGTCCTCTTGCTGCTGCGGTCCTGCTCCCTGCTCATCCTGTAACTTGGCTAGCTGACCCGCGCGCGCCTGGCAGCTGGAGCTGAGCTGGGTATAGGCCGGGCCGCCGCGCGCCCAACTCCTCTCTGATCGAATTCGTTCGGTGCTCCGCTCCATCTGCGCCCGCCTCCTAAACAGCCGGCCGTCATGGTCGTGTTTGTGTGATTGTGTTGGCTGGAGGAGTCGAGGTAGGTAGCACCGTAGCAGCGCTAGCTACCAGGAGGCGCAGGAAGCTAATAGCCCATTTTAGTTTTCGTTTCATATCTTTTTCTACGGCAAGTTCTCCTTTTTCCCCGGCCGGGTGGGGTTGACGACTGTGGGAGGAGTTTGTGCTTGAATCCATGGTGACGCTTGATTGATTTCTTTGTGTTTCTTCTCTTTTTTGTGTGTGGCGAGGTGGCGGGGACAACGATCCGACAGCTGGCAACTGCTGCAATCTACTAGTACTAGAGTAATCCGTAAACACGATACTTTGCTTTCGGTAGCCTAGCTAGATCTTTGCAAGATGCATGCAGCCTATAGCCCGATAATAAGTTGCCCGGAATCTTTAATTTCGTTCTACTTCTTGTCAATAACACAGCGGTACTAGTACGTATTTGGTTTGCTTTGACTCTTAAAAAAGTTAAAATAATTTATAATTTGGGTAAAGGGAGTATATTAGTTTATTACTGGAGTAGTGGAGTACACTTCTTTTGCCTATACAAACTCATGCTCAGTAGTATGTTATTTTTATTTGGGTAAAGTCTAATTTACATCATCCAACTCTCGTCAGAGTCCGGATTTCAATCTTGAACTTCAAAACCGGATAACTTTGGCCCTTTAACTCTGGAAACCGTTTAACCTTCTGGGCGGTTTTGGTGTATGAACAGTAACTTCGTGTTCTGAAAATGTCAAAAGTTACTGTTTATGCACCAAAACCGTCCAGAAAGGTTGAAAGTTGAACGGTTTTCAAGAGTTGAAGAATCAAAGTTATCCGGTTTTGAAGTTCAAGGTTGAAATTCGGACTTTGACGAGAATTGGAGGGTGTAAATTGGATTTTACCTTTTTTTTATTTTTACCATCACATCAGGCAGTCTTTATTCGGAGCCACTTCGATACAATACAGCACCAGAACCGGCGGTCACAAACGGACAAGCGGTAAACGAGGACGGGCGCACGGTCCAGCCCGACGCGGTTCAACACTTTTTTTTTTTAGCAAAAAGGTGATGACGAGGACGGAGCATCGCGTGTACTTACTACTTAACTCGGTCTCGCGGTCCACTCTGTCCACTAATAATTTTTCATTCCGGCCGGGCTGTTCTTGACCCGTGTTCCTATGACTACTCCATCTGTGTGCAGCGGTTCGCGCGCACCTGCCATCCCCGGGCCGACGGAGACGATGACCCGTCCTCCCCATCACGGGACGCCACCGCGGCCGGCTCCGGCGACGCTGTCCCAGGTACGTACGCCGCCGCTGGGCGCTGGCCGGTTTCTAATTTCACGCGCGTCAAAGATGGGAATGGAATCCCGCGATGCGAACAGGCGTAATCAGCTAGCGGCACCGATGATGGCCATGCATGCGCGCGTGACGGACACAAAAGCAATGCAAATGCAAACGGGTTATATATTGCAGATCCAACGATGTGGAGTATGGATACAGACTTGAGTCCACGACTAACTGGGATGTCAACTAGCTCTGTTCTGGCTGATACATGTTTCGGCCTGATAAGTTTACCGGAGTTTGTTTTCACGCTGGAGTAAAAATACAGATAAGTTCGAGCAAACAAGGCCAACACACAGTCAACCTGCAAGTGTACCTGTCCGCTTAGAGCTGGTCCGTCTCACTGCCGCAGTCAGGATACAGGAAGTCTGGAGTCAGGATCAGGACCAAGTATGTTGGTTGGTCAGAAAGATCAGAAATGATGATCGGAAAAGCAACCGCGCCGTGTTCGACCACTAGACTGGACAGCTCTTGACCCTTGATGAACTGAAATATCTCAAAACATTGGCAAATATAACTGATTAACCCTCCATTACGAAATACTTATCTGCCAGACCAGTCCACTTCAGTGATGGTACAGTAACAATGGTAATCGCTGTCTTATGGAGTGGTAAATTATCCATATCGAAAAAGGCTAAAATTCCAGAAGAAAATTCAATGTATAAAAAATTACAATTAATTTGAATATATGAAAAAATCTAAACAAATTGGATGTAGGAAAATTATTTTAAGATCTGGCCAAACATAAATTTGCATGGTAAATGCACTAACTGACGCATCCATGTGCCGATGTGCGCAGGTTGGTTGGAGCAGCCGGTTTGGACTAAAGCACCTGGTATCTTACATTTCAGGCAGAGGCGGCTTTACTGCAACCGCAGCTGTCAGCGAGAGGGAGGAGCAACGCCACAAGGCCAAGGAGAACCTGGACGTCGGAGCAGCGGTCACTGTCTTCGGTATCGCCGTGCTGCTGGGTGGGCTCTTCCTCCCGAAGGAGGCCAAGCAGCCGGGCAATAATGTGCGCCTCACCGTCTCGCTGCTGCTGTCCTTGGCCACCTTCCTCAGCGGGAAGGCCCTCGTGCTGCTCAGCCTGAACATGATGGGCCGCCAAGTCCTCGTCTCGGTGGCCACCGCACCTCGGCCAAGTGCCTGGTCGCCGCATGCGCCGTGCTGTCGGTGCTCACGCTGCTCAGCCTACTCGCGCTCCTGCCGGGCGGTGTGTACCTGTACATCGGACTGTCCGTGGTTACGGCGGTCACCCTGTCGGCCGCCGGTGCGCACTGGTGGCTCCTCAGGCGCATGAATAACGGCGGCGGCGGCGGTGAGTGCCGCCGCAGCGTGCGACGACGAGGACAAGGTCAAGGAGGAGCTGGACGCGGCGTCCAAGACGACATGCGGCATCACGAACTCGGCGTTCGGGGCCCCATCGGCGTCCTCTTCAGCGCGTCCAAGATCTCCGGCGCGGCGGCGGGCTCCGTCGAAAGCGCCGCCCACGCCGCCATCTTCTTCACGTTCACGACCGCTATCCTCGGCGTGTTCGTGCTGACGGTGTCGAAGGTGGTCACCAACCAACGACGACGATGCAGCAGGCGGCGGCCTCGCCATCGCCACGGCCATGAGGCTCGCCAACGCGCTCCTGCTCTGCTCGCTGGCGTGCGCCGCGTTCGCGGCAGCCTTCGTGGTTCTGAGGTACCGCGCGTTTTGCGGCCTTCGCGCCGTTAGTCTTGGCAGCTGTCCTCTGCTTCCTTCTCCGGCACTGCATCGTCGTCGTCCGCCACGACCGAGACGGCGAGGAGGCCCGGATCAAGGCGCTGGAGGACATCGCGAGCAAGGTGACGGCGGCGACGTTGGGAGGCATCATGAGCATCCTCGGTGGTGCGCTCGGAGAGGAAGACCGCGACAAGTGGGGATCCACCTCCACCGGCGTCCTCATGGTCGTCCTCACCTCGGCGTTCGTCTCGGGCTTCGGGTTCATGGTGCCTCGGTGGTTCCCAGGCTCCGCCACGGCGATCCTGGCTCCAGTCGCCCGGGTGCTGGTCTGGTCCACCGTGGCGTTGTTTACGGGCACTGCTGTTGCTGTTTACGGCGTGGAGGTGTCAGGGCTAGACAATCCGAAGGAGAAGCCGTGACGACGATGGCTTGCTAATTAAGCACGTTTTTAAGCCTTTATTAGCAACGAGAGAAGTGTGTGCGCACACGCTTCGACCTCGATCTAGCAGTGTCTCTGTAACATTAATGTCCGCTCGCTTCATTGAAAAATGTTCAAAACATTGTTTTTGCTTAATTATTGCAGGAGAAAAATACCGTCTGACCTGGAAAAAAAGTTTGAAAAAAGACGGATTACAAGAGAAAAACAAGCTGAAAAATATTGTTCCAACAATAATAACCAAAGGTTTTGAATAGCGCTCAAGGTGTTTAGCGGTATATCTCTAAAACAGCCTAATTGTGAAGCTATATCAAAATATAGCGGGATATATCATTTACAAATTGTACATGAATAAATAAGTAACACCTTACCTCAAAAGGCAGAGCGAAGCTATAACAACAGCTATAGCAAGAGTTTGAAATCAATGATAATAACCTTCGTTTGTGATTGAAATTAGTCCTCCTTCCCAGCTACTAGTAGATATGCATATATATATATAGCAATATTTGTATATAAAAACGATATAAAAGTGACATACTACTCCAGGTGACATATACGGATATACCTTGCTTGTAGTAGAAGGGTAGAAGCTGCCTATCTGCTGCCTTTCATCCCATTTTGCATTTGCAAAAAAAAAAATGATGAGTGCAACAAAATCATAAAGAGTTTTGAAGCAACTCCCCTGTCGAAATTACCCGCAGCTTTTTTTAAAAACGAGATTAAATCTCTGCTTATAAGAAAGCAAGTAAATTACCCGCGGCTCGTCACGTCCTCATGCTTTGGCTGGTAGGTGCGGTTCCGCTGGATGATGTCTTTCGCGTGTCCACACCACACCGTTCACACAAGGTTTCGCCGGCAACACGGCGTGTCCGTCTCCACCTAACACAAGCGCGCAAGTATCAGGGGCGGAAGCGGACGCGCGCGGACCCGACACGATGGACGGGCGGGCGCCACCAACTCAGCACAGCAGCCGGTGGCCGGCCCCAGGTGGCTGGAGCTTGCCGTGTCCGTGTGTGTGCCTGCCGAATCCAAGCCAAGCGCACCGTCGTGGCCACCCGCACGGGCTGCCCACCAGCCGCACCCGCGCGCGTCCCCCTCCCACTCCCGGCTCGGAACGTGGGACGACATGCACATGCGACGATTATTATAACCACGCCTCTGTCCGGCGGTCGCCTCGCCACCACCCGCCCGCACCCCTGGTTTTGTTGGCATTCCCCGCGCTGCCGGTGCCCGGTGGGGATCGAGGGCCGGTCATCCGGACAGGACACCCCGCATGGCCGCGACCGCCATCATGGCCCGGCGTACAGTTTCGCTTTTGTTTAAGGTCCCCGCGCGCATCGCATCGATCGTGTCGTGACAATTGCTTTCAGAGTGTCGAGCGCCACTCCTATAAAGCCTGTGCTGTGCCTGCCCCTCTCGGCCTTCTCGCTTGACCCAGGTTGCGGCGAACGGCGATCCATCCCAGCAGCAGGTGAGCTTTCTTGTGGATTGATTGCTACTGATTAATTTATTGGGCCACTAGCTAGTTTGTTCTTCCTGTGTGTGTCGACCTCTACCTCTTGTCATCCAACCTGGAGACCTCGAATTCCTTTGTTCAATTCTTGTCTTCTGTTACGGAGTATTAACCTTGGCTGAACGGGAATTTCGAGGCTGTGAATCTGAGCGATATTCCACATGAGACCACATGTTGGGTATTTGCTTGGGTTGATCGAGTTGGTCTCCATCGGGCCTGCCTTTGTTCCCCATTTGAGGAACACGAGTAGAGTGCCGAATTCAGCTGGGATCTACCGGCACAGATCCGCTACTCCTTTTGGTCCACCGCATGTTCCCCGTCCATCCGTAGATAGGCTCATGCTTTTATCGCACCTTTTGCATGATGCTGTGGCTGAGCCTTTTCCTTCTTGTGCCAGCTTGTTATGGCGACCATGACCGACGACGAGCACCGGCAGACCCTGGCTGAAGAGGGGCGTGCCGCTCCCGTCCAGCCTCATCAGCCCAACGGAGGAGGTGAGCACCTCGCCCTTGCCGTGACCATTTACTTCTAAATTAGTAAGTGCTTCCTTTCACAGTTGACTTGCGCTCGCTGCAGGTTCGCCACCGCCTCTCGAGATACTCCCTCCGTCCCATTGAGTTTGTCGTTGGAAAACCGTGCCCCCCTCACAATCCCGCTTCCCGAGCGACAATCTTAACGGGACGGAGGGAGTAGAGAAGAAGGCCGCCGCCGCCGCCATCAGCCAAGTCACTCACTAAGGTATGCGCGCGAATCCGCTGCCGTACCTTACTTCTCCCTCCGGCGATCTGTGCCGAATTTCACCTGCGCGCGTCGCCGTCGGACTCTTTTTTTTAGCACTCATCATCAGAGTTCGTTGTCACGTCTCTGTGGTCTGTCCTTTTGAGACGGACGCAAACTTTACGAGGACAGTAGGTAGCTAGATATGTTTCTTTTCCAAACTCGAAAATCGCAACTGACTTCGGTCAGTGGAAGTCCCAGTCCCTATCGGGACACCTGCGTGACCGGGACATTATTTGGGTGCTAACGGTAAACGACCAGTCAATATGCTTCTAGATCATTTCATCAATTTATTAGAATGCGTGTGTGTTGTGTGTGCGTGCGTGCGTGGTGTGTGTGAGAGAGAAAAGAGAGTAGACATTTTATTAGGTGTCATCTTCATACTTGGCCAAAGCGCTCTCCTTTTGTAATTAGATTTAGACCAAAAAAAACTTTGTTGTAGTACAAGATAAAATAAAATTGTTGCAAGGAATTATTTTGTACAAGTTAACCAAGGTAATTCGGGTTTTCAAATTTAATATTTAAAATATGTTTTGAGAAAAATGGTACCTGATATTTCAAATTACCTTGTAAAAATATTTTGTATGAGTCTTTTAAAGTATGCCTAACCATTACCTTGTATTTCATTTCCTATGAAACCAAACCTTTGAAATATTTGGAATACAAATCTAGTGATACGTCTTTTGCATACTACACTATGTGCATAATTTGATTATTGTTGGTCAAATTTATATTGTTTGTTTGTTTGGTTTGAAATACTAATACATCCCATATTTTTTTAATGTAGAGAGTAGTAAGGGTAGCTTAATCTTGAGATATCTTGGACCCATATAAGTGGTTTTTTTAAGAAATTTGCGCACAAAACTATAAAAGAGAAGGTAGAATTTATATATATAAAGAGAGACAAAAAAAAGTGTTGGGCTTTGGGCTTACATTGACCCATTCGGCCTAAACGTATAGAGTGATGTGCTAGGCCTTGCCTCGTGCTCCTTATTTTTCTAGTTTGGCCCAATTACAAGTGGGCTTTATTTTCAGACGCTAGGCGTTGGGTACTTGGGCTGCACAGGCAGCGTGCTTGCTGCTGGCCTGCTGGGCGAACGAAGAACGAACTTAATATTGAACTGAAAACATGGGATGGGACAAAAAGGCCTTCGGTTTACGGTTCAAAAAAAAAAAAAAAAGCCTTCGGTTTTGGTGAATGGTGCAGCGCTAGAGGGGCAGCGATGCGATACGTCGGCGGCGAGGGAAACCGTAGGCGCGGGGCGCATGCACCATATAGCAAGCGGGGGCGGCGGCGGCGGTGGCGATGACTGATGAGGGAAGGAGTAGATTACTGTCGGAGAGGTTGTTTTTATCTCGTGGGGATTAAGCATCATCAAGGGGACGAAACGCGAGCTCGACGGAGGCACGAGGCGGCGACGGGAGCTGTTAGCGATGTAGGGTAGGTGCCGAGCTAGATCCCTTGGCTCCTGGCAGGTCTGATGCACCCTCCATGGGAGGTCAATCCCCTCTTAAGGTATGATCCGAAATTCCGAACTGCCTGACGATTCAGTTCCCCATCTGATTATTTCAAGAACTTTGATTTCATCCAAATACGTGGATATACACAGACGCTCTTGGTTTACAGGTGTAGGCAAGAATTTGGGTTGGGGGAGGAGTTGATTTTGGTCGGATGAATTTTGAACCAAAGAATTTGTGGGACGAACTTGATTTTGATCGGCTGAATATAGCAGTGGATCATGAATTTTGGTAACCAAAGTTTCGTTCCTGACGACACCAAGGTCCTGGGTTGTAAAAAGATTGAGACTAGAAGTAGGATCACATGACTTTTTGCTGCATTCTTTGTTAGAAAAAAAAGAGTAAAATAGCTTTATATTTTTTTATCTAACAGTCCAACTCTTATCTCAACTTGTAGTTATGGTAATTCTAACTTTATTTATATCACTATAATCTGTCAGAAACTTACATGTTGAATATGTGGCTCGTCTTCTAACTTGGACATGCTGTGCACTGGGACATTCCTTTTATCACTGTTTGCTCTATATAATAATATTGGCTGCACTTTTGTTGGCAATTACTCCCTCTGTCCACAAGAGAATGCAACTATGTGATATGTGCAATTCAAACTAACTTAACTTTGACCAAGTTTATAGTGAATATTATTAACATTTGTCTCCAACTAGGTTTACTACAAAATATATTTCATGATTAATATAGTGGTAGTTATTTGTATAATTTTATATAACTTTGGTCAAATTTCAATCATTTGACTCCTCGAAAAGTGAGAATTGCATCCTTTTGTGAATGGGGGAGTAGAAATCGTTGTACCGGTAGTGTAGTGTTTGGTGGAAATCACTTTGTTTTTTCCTTTTAATATGGAACTGCTATCATCTTTTAACATTCATTTCGTTGTTTCTCCTAGGAATTTCTAGAAGGTCCGTGGTCTTTTGATGTTGGCATTTTGGGCTATCATGACAGTGTGCTGTTTCCTTGTAAAGCACCACACTGGTTGAAACAGTATAACCAACTACTGATTTCTAGCTCTGTTTTTTTTTATTTCGAAAAATGTATTGAGCTTGACATTAATTTGAACTACCAGAAACCATTTAGGAATCATCATGTGGACTGAACTGATGCCTGTCCATAGAGCCATGGGTTATGGCATTCTATAATGTTTCATCCATAAAATTGTTAATTGCAGGCCGAGGAAGGCATCAGTGCAATCAAGGAACTGTGCCATGCAGCCAAAGCCAAGGAGAACAGGGAGTTTGGTGCTTTCATTGCTGCCTCTACTGCAAGCATGATGGTGGCGTGGTACTTCCTCTCTCCAGATGGCAGAGGAGCATACAATATGCGTTACATCATCCCGATGCTTCTTGGCTTTGCATGTCTCACCAGTGATTTATCCTTGATGCTGCTGAGTCAGAACATCATTGATCTCCAGGAAGACCTTGTTGTTGATGTCCAACTTGTGGCCTCCAAATGGCTTTCCTTGTTGTGCAGCATATTACCTGTGCTAACTTTGCTTAGCTCCTTGGTGCTTTCGGGGTATAAGGTCTATAGGTACATTGGCCTCATCATTCTTGGTTTGGTGATGACACCACTTGCTTTTCTGCGATGGTACATTGGACGCAACGTTGAGGGCAGCGGCGAACAAGTGGACAATGAGCACAAGGAGCAGTTAGAGGCAGCCTTCAAGTTTATTTCAGCCATCAGCAACTCTGCGTTTGGTGGTTTGGTTGCCTTGGTGGTTAACTACAACATCACGGGTTATTCAGGAAGCACTAAGGGTGCCGTCCTCGCTGCCATCTTCATCTTGTTTACTACTGGCATCTTGGGCCTTCTCTCAATGGAGATCCGGACGAAGGTACTAGAGATCAACAACTCAAGACTTCGGGGATCCATCATTAAAGCAATGTGGTTCATAATTATATTTATGCTTTTATTGCTGTCTGGTGCAGCCCTCGCAGAAGTTTTTGCTATAGTTGAGTTCTGGACCTTTGCTGCATTCCTGCCTTTGGCTTTGCTTCTGCTATCTACCTGTTCCCTGAGCGCAGTGTCCGTGTACCCAGGAACAATAATTCCAATGAGTACCTGATGGAGCAGTTTAATTGGAAGGCTGATAAGGGGATCAAAGTCACCATGTGGTCATTTATGGCAATTATCAGTATCTTTGAGGTTTCCTTCATGGCCATGACAAGATACAGTATTTGAAGGCTTGCATCATCTTACTGACATCAGCATTTATGTCCGGGTTTGTTCTCACTTTGCTCACTATCAAGCCAGATCCAACCAGTACTAGCCTTGCTGCTGCCACAACTATGCTAGATTGGACTGCATCAGCAACATTTGAGCTGCGATATTTTCCATTATGGTTGCGATGTTTCTGCAAATCCTGTGAGGCGCGAACCATGCCGTGTATGTTCAATATTTTGAGCTGTGTCAATTTTGGGAATGAAGTGCATTGCTTACATTCGTTTCAAAAAAAGTGCATTGCTTACGGAGAAAGAACTGAGAAGCAGGCAGCAGCCTTCGTGCTCGGCACCGGCACAATATACTGTAGAGAATAACTCTTGGGGCAAGGGGTTTTTTTTTTGTGTGTAAAAGCGCGACATTAAAGAGTGAGGGCATATTATTGGGTAAATAGGCAAAAACCAAAAAGAAAACATACCGCTTTGAGTTACATATATAGGCGGGGAGAAAATTGAAGTTGTTCTACTACCAGTAATCTTTAAACAACAGTCTTAAAAACGATATACTAAGAGTCCAAGTCAGATTAAGAAACATATTAAGTGCTTACCTGCTGCTGTATAAGAATGGTCTCACCTGCATTATCGGGATGCAGGATTTGGTCTAGATGGAAAATGAAAGTTTATCCCTTTCTTGGTCTATTTTCAGATTCAACCTGTGAGCATTCAAAAGCTGGATGTTCTTTGCTCTGAACAGGCCTACAGAGTGCAAACTCGACCGGTGACTTTAGTATGAGAATGCATGTCAATGACCAAGTCTTTTGGGCCGGCCCACTTGAAGAGCGTAGTTGGTGCGCCAGTGTACCTTTTACGTATACTGGAGTAGTCAATTGTCAGAGTTTTCATTTTTTTTCTTCTTTTCCCTCGAGATGAATAAAGAAGACCTCGTGGATTCCGTTTCCCTGTTACCACCATCTCTACTGATTCGACAAATCTGGCGCTTGTTCGGTTTTGTATTTCTTGTAGCTACCGAACCAGACGAGACCACCACTCGTTTGTTGTCGACAGTCTTCGGTGCGGTGTGCGGATCGACGACAAGTCGACAATGCACGTTGCATCGTGTGGGCCCTCCTGTGCTGCCAGCTGGCCTCACACCCACTAGCGTCCATGGAGACAATCCATGAGCTTGTTAGCTGATTGGTTTTTAGTGTGAAAGAAAAATAGTATCGACTACTAATTCATGAGCTTCGGCTGAAACCAGACATGCATGTTAGTAGGGCAGGTAGGTGCTCCGTTCAAAAAAAGTACCACTATAGAGTTCGTGCCACTCGAATTTTTTATTAAGGTCCTGTTTATTTCCAATTTTTTTTTTAAAACATGCTACAGTAGCCATCACATCGAATCTTCTGATGCATGTATGGAGCATTAAATGTAGACGGAAAAAAAACTAATTGCACAGTTTGGTGGAAAATCGTGAGACGAACGTTTTGAGCCTAATTAGTCCATGATTAAACATTAATTGTCAAATAAAAACGAAAATACTACGATAGCCAAATTCTTAAATTTCGTGAAACTAAACAAGGCCTAAATCTGATTATATTTATAGAAAAGTGGCCTACCCCATGTTCTCTCCATTGTGTCATTTGAAGGGAAACTGTGACGAAATGCTATATGACTTTAATTAGGACGGCACACCGCAGACCTACCGTGACGAAAAGAGCCTACCGAATTTCCAAATGTCGATCGGTAAGCCACATGACAAAAGTAAAGCACCGAACGTGTCATTTATTTCTCCAGGGCGGTACACCGAACAAAACCTTCCAGAAATTCCGCGTCAAGTTTGTCCATCAGATTGTTTGACCAAGTTTAAGAGGTTATTGTTTGACCAAGTTTAAGTGGTTATCGCTTTGCCGCCGGCGTGCTTGTGTATCCTTGTTGGTGTTAGTGAAATCCAATAAATGAATTCAAAAAAAAAAATCCAACAAATGAGATGGTATAAAAACTCTCGGGTACATTGAAAAACTAAACGTTTGGAACACAGATAACAAAAGCAAACATATATTAGAAGCCAATTATTTACTGAAACGCATAGATTTCTTGTGCTGAAACATATTCATCTGGCTTAAGTTTTTTGTTTGGTATATGTGCTTTATTTTTCTGGAATTTTTTAAATCTATCGCCAGTTCGCTGCAGCCTTCTTTTAGAATCTTAGAGGTTTGTTGGTTCAATCTTTTAAAAGTGCTCTAGAAATAGAGCTTGGCTGTGTGTCTCGACTATTGCGTCCATAATGTGTGATTCAAAAAATATATTTGTGAAACATATAACAAAATAGACTAGTATTTAAATCTTGTATATAACAAGACAACACAGTTAGTTTTGTGCAACCATATTGAATTCATAAATTTAATTTATCCGTTCAGGCTGTAGCTGTATGCCCTTTTTTTTATGTATATGTAGGCTAAAGAGCTAGTTGCGTGTTTTTTTTTTCTTCTTATAATGGTGCTTCTAATATACGTATACGTTTTTTTTTTGTACACGTTTATGTGTAATTCTTTTATATGAACTCATTTAAATCTTTATTGTTTTATACAAATGCCAAAAAGCATCTTTTTTTAAACAAATAAAAGAACTCAGCCAATAATATTAATAGGATTATCTCATCCGATGGTTGATTTCACTACAAATATGTTTTAACGATGAACGATTACAGTAATTAGTAATTTTTACAGTGACAACTGAAAATGAGTGGAAAACTCTTACTCCAGCTCAGCAAAAAAAGCAAAGTTGTATATATCTTGCGTATTAGGGGTAGCAAAAGAAGCTCAGAATATCGGGCGAGCTGGTCTGAGTTCGAGCCGAGTATGTGCTCGTTGAGCTGAGCTTGAACTTGAGTTGGTCGGGTTCGGGTTGTGGTCCGCTCGCCGCTCGGGTTACATCATGCCAGGCTCCCTCCCTCTAGTCCTCCTCTAAGCATTGGCGATTTCGAAACCGCCTCAGTCTGCATATAAAAGCAGGGTTCATTCCAGGGCCGGACGCGGAAGAGGCGGAGAGTCCCAACCAAACCATACTCTCACGGCAAGCACCCAGTGACCAGCGTCGCTGGCTCGCAGGCCCCACCCAGTCAAATACAAGAAGTGTCAGATACAGCGTGACGAGGAAAGAAAAAAAGGGCGGAGTAAACAAAACCAAAACAGCTAGGGAGCTGTCTCGGTCGTCGTTTGCAAGACCGCTGGATCTCCTTCCCCTGCCAGCAGTGCCATGGCGAGAGAAAAAATACAAGCTAACGAATAGTAGGTTCGCCGATCACCGGAAATCTTCCTCATCTTCCTTGCCCCGAAGCCGCCTGGCTTCTGCCGCCGCTTGGGACGCCCGGGCCAAGACGAAGCGCCAGGGCTGTGCGTGCCCCACGCCCCCATCTGAAGCCCCCTCTAGAGCCTACGCCGGGCCGACGGATCGCCTTCGCCTCTCCCAAGAAGCGTCTCTTAACCGAAAGGCCGCAGAGGGAGCGGTTCAGCTGAGCCGGGCTCGAGCGTCCTTGGAGCCAAGATCGAGCCCAGGCTTAAGCTCGCCGTGTCGGCTAAAGCCGATCCATATGGAATCGTTGACCCACCACAGCCCCGAGCCCAGGTCTTTTCTTCGTGTTCTGGTTCTGGTGCACCAGAGCCAACGGACATTGGGTTATTAAAAAAAGAAAAAGAAAAAAGCTAACGGACAAGGCGCCGACCGGATCTGGTCCTTTGCTGCCATCAATGGCCGCCGTCCCTTTCTTTTCTTTCCACACGCAAGGTGGTGGCAGTTGTCCGCACGTCACGCTCGATGCCTGTCTTGTACGACTTTTCTGGGAGTATACTATTGCGAATGACGTAAGCGCTTACGCACGGTGCGTCGCTACGGGCCGGCCAACACCAAACAGCGGAACTACTCCACCCAGCGTGCAGCGAAAGGCGACCACTACACACGTGGCGAGATTTGAGTAGCGTATAAGGAAGTGTGCGCAGGACGAGTCAGGCATCTCATCCTAGTCCGCGGCCCGATAAGCTCACCACCCACCGCCCGAACCACAGAGGTCACCGGTGGGTGTGGCGGGGTCGGATTTCTTGAACCATCCTCGTACCTTCCGCCCAACGGCATCCGTGTGCTTTCGCCCCGTTTTTCACCGCTACTACGTTTCAAGTGATCCGTGTTTTCCGCTTATAACAAATCAATCAGCGTAAGCATTGGCATCAGTCAAATTTTAGCGAAACGGTCAATTAAGAGGACATTTGATCTCAGAATTAAACTTTAGTCCTCGTCAAATCGAATATTTACATGCTAATTAGAAGGATTAAATATGAGATAATTATAAATCTAATTACATACGTTGTGACTAACTCGTAAGACGAATCTATTAAACCTAATTAATCTATTGTTAGCTCATGTCGAATTAGCCACAACTTATACTATTAGTTTTATATTTATCACATATTTGATCTTTCTAATTGGCATCTAAACCTATGATGTAACAGAGATTAAAGGAGTTTTATACTGTTCAATTCTTTTGTTCAAAAAGGTGCATAGAAAACTATCCTACAAGATTGAAATCCTCTAAAATTCTAAGGTCCAAGCGAAGGATGAGATGCTCCTTTATTTTAACCGCTAGGCCAAGTTGGCAGGCCCACAAATATATTATTTAATTATAGTTACATCATATTTGTGTCAGTGGCTAATAATGGACTCATTAAAATTTAGGAGGTATGTCGTAAGGATGTTGTTTGAGGTATTTGGATACTAATAAAAAAATAAATTATATAATTCGTTAGTATTCCACGAGACGAATTTTTATGCCTAATTAATCCGTCATTAGCACATGTTTACTGTAGCAAAATCTTATTTGATCATGGGCTAATTAGGCTTAAAAGATTCGTCTCGT